TGCTGGGCTTCTCTGCAGCTTAAAGCCATTTACTTTCTTGATACAACTTTTTCATATCTTTTTCTAATACATTACTCTAAAATGAGGTTTTCATTAAAGTGTAATGTTTCTCTACTTGAATATGCTTAGATGCATTTTAACTTGAGATTGGTTATTCCATGATGCTACTGGCTGTTTGTCATTCCCCATGTAATAAGCCTTAGATTGTTGCCAAAAAAACCCTGCTGGAAAAAAAAATTTAAAAATGAGCAATCTAGCACAGTAATTTCTGTTATGATTTGTTTGAAGAGGATGGGCTGCCTAGGAAGCAATTTGCATAGTAATATGATTGGACTTGGACTGATTATATTTTTACTGGGTAGGTTGGGTCCATGTGCTGTGACTTTGATGATAATCCTTGATTATGTTGAATTGTAGAGAAGTAAAACCTTCAAGGTCATTCATTTAAACTCTTTCCTTGATGTGAAATCTGCAGTTCAGGATGTTGCCACGATATTCTTGGCAGATGGCTGTCCACCCTGGACCACGTTCAAATAGCTTAAATTATTAGACTGTTTCCACTAATATTTAGCCCACATTTGCTTTCCTGACCTTTGAAGCAATAGAGAACAATTATCTTTCTATTTAATTTGTCTTGAATGGGCTAAATGCTGATGACCAATCTAAAATATTTTGCTTAAAGTCCTCTGTAAGGTACTTTTTTTAGGATAGTATTAAAAAGATACCCTCCCTGATTTCTTAATAGTAACCAAAATCAAGTCTCTCTGGGCGTCATATCAGTTTCTAAGTTACACTGGCTTTCTTTTCAGCAAAATGTTCATCATGTCATGAATAATAATTTCAAAGGAGATGGGCATGAAAGCAGAAGAGCTTAACTTGAGTATTTGTGTTTGAAAATAGCTAGCCTAATTAGGATAATCAAAGACAGTGTTCTGTTATCTTCTTCATTACAAATTATTATTTTTCATTAAAAATGTGTATTTTCATGCAAACAATGCAGCTGCATATTTCTTTTCAGAACAGTTCCAAATCCTAAATCAGAACCAGCTTTGATGGTGCTGATAAAAGCCATCAGCTTTGCATATTTGATGCCCTGGCTAAGTAGCAATAGCTGTTGATGACTAACTGATGGATTTGGGTTGAGTTTTATTTTATTTATTTAAAAAAATAGTTGTAAACCACTCTGCTGTTGCAAAATGCATGCAGTTTTAAGAACTGAAAGAGGGATAGTTGCAGCTAAGATGGAAATAGGTTGCAGTTGGAAAGCTACCTGATTAAGCTACCACTTAAGCAGTAGTACCGTCAATTATAGAAACTAGCTTTAATGGGCAAGTTAGCGTGGCAGATTTCTATCCCAACTCGTTTCAAGCAGACAGATTCTTTCATAACAAACAGTATCAATTTCATAGATCAAAGAGGACTGTGTAAGCTACTCTTGCCAAAAGCCTTTTCTTTTTCCTGTAAATGTATTTTCCTTATTTCATCTTCAGATTCAGATAGTCTTTGCTGACATTTTTAAACAACATTAAAATTAAATTTATGTTTATTATCTGGTGTTCACTGAGTTTTAAGCAGGCAAGTTGACTATGCAGTGTCAAAGAGAGTTGGATGCATACAAAAGAATTTTTCCCCCAATAAGAGTTTCCAATTTAAAAAATGGCAATAGGGAAGTGGTTCAGTGAGGCCACATATGGAGTCAGTTTTGTCAGTCACACAATGGTGGTAACCAAACCAGAACTATTCAAAGTCACGTTATATATTACTCTTGTTGTTTGAACCAAACATGGGACTGCTACAATTTCTAAATCCCTTCCTCCCTTTTTCTTCCCTTCCCCACCCCCCAGTTTTAGACTGAATTATGGAGGCTGGACTATCAATTTTAACTTCATATTACTATTGGGAGGGGGGATTTTTACATGTATGGAGTATCAAGAGAACAGACATACCCAACAAATAAAACAATCTGAACCCATTCTAAAAACTAAAAAAAGACCACTTAAAAAAGGACACAGAAATTTAAAGATATGGTACCTTAAATAATGAGGCAAGTCATTGCAAAATGTTGTTATGCTTTGATCCAATAGATAAATTCAGACTTTCCATGGGAAACTCCTTAAAAGGGACATAATCAATATCTCACAAATAAACATAAAATAGCATTGAAAAAGATGGCTCTCCCACCTCACCGATCCCATGAGGACAGAAACATTGTCTAAGTGATGTGCTGTGATACCTGCCCATGATTAGCACTGAGGCAATAGCACTGAATTGCCCCAGCATAAAAGCCCTGCGATATTTCAACGATATGATGCGGGAAAGGTAGGTGGCAGAGGCAAAGTGAATCCTGCATACAAATAATTGAAAAGTGAATTCCTTTTCCTTGTAAATCTGAATCCTAGATACATTATCTGACTCTTTCTTTAAAGGGTTCTAAAACCAGTGTGGTAAATTATAAAACTGGAGGGATTTTCTTCCAGTTCTTTTCCCCATAGATTGAAATTTGTCTTCTGGAATTAAAGGGGCTAAGTCAGCTTGTATATGGTAAATTTCAGGCAAAGATTGAGGAAATGTAGCACTGTATTTGGTGCACATTAGGGAGCTGCAAAAACAAAACATACGAAAATACTCTTCATGTCCTTCTGTAAGAACAAATTTGGATTCTGCACCACAGCTAGAAAACCACATTTGTCTCATAACATTCATGGCAGCAAGGGTGTGATAGCCTAGTATAGAAAAACATATATAGTGGTAACCACACTTCTCTAGGCCCACTCAAGTTTCCCTTGCTGATGTTTGGAAGACTACCACCAAATAGTTAAAGTTGTTTACATACTTAATTAAATTCCCATCTAATTGTGACCTGTAGGATTTGCCTGTCGCAGAGAGGGTGACTGCATCATCTGTGTACAAAAAGAATAAGGAAAAGAACTATTGATGTATTGTTAATTGTGTGTGTAATTAATTGGTTTATGTTTAATTATAATTCTATTTTATCAAGTATTTTTATTATTAGTTACCTTGAAACAGCTGAAGGGAAAGTCATACATCAGCTTCTATAAGACTTTCTTTCTGGTAATGAAAGCTTGTTTGTTTGGGGAAGGCTATTTTTCCACTTTCCTCCTCCCCAGAATTCTCCTTTAATCCTATCAGGATTTTGAGGACAATATTTTACTTTATTTGTGCAAGTAGACCTCAAAGCATCTTTTGCTTTTAGCATACTGATACTGCTAGCTGTGGTTTTAAAGTAGACAACATGATGCTGTTTTTCAAACTCTTGCCACTTGTGCAAAAAGAAACAGCAGAATTCCCCCTATTATCTGCAGTCATCAGCTACACCTTCTGTATTTATGCTTCCTTGCCACATGCTTCATGGTGCCATTTATCAAGAAAGAATTATGTAAAAATCTCATTCCTAGCTTTTAAATGGAAAAAAGCTTTAGAGACTGATGTTAAAATGGCTCAGTGCCTTTGTGGATTTATACAAGCAGCCACTAGATTCAAATAGATCTGCTATAATAAGTCATTTATATAAGCTTCCTCAATTTACATGGCTCTTTAAAATGACAGAATGCTCACTCTCCTCATATGACAATTTGCAGCCAGAAGGAGACATGCTACAAAGCTTAGACCTTATTAAGCTGTAGCTTTTAAAATATTTGTTGATGAATCACATGATTTACCAATCCTGGGCTTAAAATGTGCATTTTTAAAGAGCTGTTCCCTGCTGAGAAGATTCTAATTTTGACATTATTTGTGTATAGAGTGTGCATTCGTGCAGTACATCTTTGGTTTCTTTTCATACTGTCTGTCCGTCTTCCATGCGGTTTTCAAGGAAAAATGTCACCTTTCTTAGGTTTCATGAAAATATTACCTGTGAAAGTAATGTATAATAATTTATATTAATTGGCTAAAAAGCATAACCCAGGCTTTGATTAGCCTGGAACTAAACCATTCATAACATTAGACTCCAAACGTGACATATGTTTTAAGAGAACAAAACTATCTGTCTGTTACTGCTTTTAGTCAAGCAAACTGAAGAATCTCCTGTCCCAGCTGAAATAAAGAAGGAAGTGAAGATATTTATTTATTAGCTTTATATCTCACCTTTATTTTGCATAATTCAGACAGCATACATAATGCTCCAGCCTCCTATTTTCTCACAACAACCCTGTGAGGTGGGTTGGGCTGAGAGACAGTGACTGGTGTCAGATTCAGCCCAGCACGGCCAAGCAGCGGCACTGTTTCAGTTTCACTGCCACTAGTCAGTTTCACTGCCTCAGGCATAGGCAGCCGGAAAAGATAAACAGGCAACAGCAAGGCAGTTGCTGGCAGGTGGCGGCAATTAACCTGGGCAAGAACAAAGGGGAAACAGATACCTTGTAACACAGCCGGATTCCCCAAATGCCCCAGGCAACAGCAACCACAATACTCAAGGAACTCAGCAATCCAGCAATGATCAACAACCAATTAAAAACCTCCGGTTTCACCCGCAGAAGAAAAGCTCCACGAGCACGGCGATTACGAGACGAAGCAGGTTGAATCTGCCATTAGGAGAAGGGAGGGGGAGCTCAACGACGGAAGTGCGACCCAAGTATGGGCAGAGGTGGAAGCCAGGGGTACTGTGGGGTCAAGGGGGGAAACCCCATATAAACACTGTAAGGAATGTGCCAAGCCAATCCTGGCTTTGTCTGGAACTGTTACACATTACACCTGAGTAAAGTAACTTTCGTCCAAGCCCATGTCTCATGAGGTTTTTATTCAGCGTTGAATGTGGTGATCCTTACAACTGGTCCAAAGTCAGCCAGCGGGCTTCCATGCCTAAGGGAGGAATATACAGTAACTCATGGTCTCCCGGTTTCTAGTCCTGCTCTTTAACCGCTACACCAAACTGCCTCAAAAATTAAACAGGAGTGACACACACATACACACTTATACAGAGTCCCTGCTTTTCTTTTGTTTTTCAATTGCCCTGGTCACATGTCTTTTTAATTGCTTCACAGATTCCAGAAGAGCACGATTTGGAGAGCCAGATCCGCAAAGAGAGGGAATGGCGATTTCTGCGCAATGCCCGAGTCCGAAAGCAAGCACAGAAAATTATCCAAAAAGGTGATCCCCTTTCTTCTTCCCTTTCCTGATGCCCAAAAGAAAAATGGCCATTCTTTCCTGTGAGGATGTTCCATCATGCTTCAGTAACACACCCTTGAGCCTCAATACCCATTATTGACCTTTGGTGCCAACCTGCTAATCTGATTATGTGCTCCCCAGACATCCAGCATAGTATCCTGTGAAGATGAAGTAGATGTTACATCTCAGTTATATAAAAAAGGGTGTCGCAGACTAAATGGCAGTATTTCCCTCTGCCGCTAAAGGACGGAATTAAAGTATGATAATGTCCCTAATGCTTTCAGGGTTTTCTGCAACGTTTCTTATGTATTGACATTCTTTCCCTTTGTAGAGTTTCTCCCTTAGTATGCATTGGATTGACGTATATTCTGTGCTTTACTGAAAATTCACCTTGGTTATTTATAACTCTTTATGTATTTGCGAGGCAGAAGTCAGGCTGTGGGTTTATTGTTTAATGACAGAGATTATTTGAGTTCCTTGCATTTTGCTGAAGTAGCCCCTAAATTTTGCATAGCCATGGTTAGAAGTGACATTTGAAGAATAATGAGTATTATTATATATTCTAATTATATAATAATGAGAATAGTGAGTCAGAGGGAGTGAATATGTGCTGGTCACCTACAGTCATTTTCAGCACGATTCAAGATGGTTCTTACCAGGAATGAGAGAGAGTGGGTGCTTTCCCATCTTGAGTTGTCAGCTGGAGAAAGATTAGTGTGAAATATTAATCTGCTGAGAGAGATGATCTATCTCTTATATATAGCTCAATTCTTTGTAACCTAAGTGGCTTCATTCAGCTGAGAAGGGAGCCTCAAGAATCATTTTCTAAGGGAATGATGCACTCAATTGTGTCACAGCCGGTTACAGAACAGAACAGGAGGACTTTCTTCATCATGATAGAAATAGATCTGGGTTACTTTTTGGGTTGGGTTTTTTTGCGGGGGGAGGGTCCTTCTACCATGCCTACCATATGCCTTTTGTTTCTGCGCCTAAGGATTTCTCACTGCAAAAGCTTGCTTTTGTGTGAGCTGGTCATCATCTTTAAGACCTTTTAGCCCTTTGTTTTTATTTTTTAATGAAACAGATTCAACTTTTTAGTAACAATTGCTTATGACACTTGCCTACTTATTGTGCCTGGGACAAAATGGTGTATTAATCAATTTGTTCTTATCTTAGAATAAGGTCGTAGATTTGTCAGGTGAGGAGTTTCAAGCAATAAAGGAAATCTGGCTGTCCTCTGTGCATTCAGTCACGAAATGTACAAATAATGCTAAAGCACATCAGGTGGACCATTGCTGGGTCATGGTTTCATTTTTTGACTGGACTGAAGATAAATGAATATATCTGGAGGAAAATAGAGTGGTTCTGTTTTTCCATTTAATTTGAAGAGATTTTCTATGCTATAGCTTAGGGACTTATTTTGTAAAACAGTAAGCAATGCCCAATCAATTTGGTGAACTATAAGAGATTGATACTAATATTCTTTCTGAAATACTTTCTAGGTATTTCAAGACTAGATGATCAAATATTTCTGAACAGGAACCCTGGGATGCCTTCTGTAGTCAAGTTTCACCCATTCACCCCATGTATAGCAGTGGCTGACAAAGATAGCATCTGGTAAAATACTGATTCTGAAGTAATATAAACTTATTTGATCTGGTATCTTCTTGCTCCTAAGGGAAGGTCTTATAAAACTATAATCTTGGCTGAGTACAGGTTTTCTGCATAGAGTTTCAATTTTATTATTCCCTCTGCAAAAGCTGAAAATGCAATGAAAACATATTAATCAAGAAATATTAAATACTTGGGGGGGAGGAGCAAGCTATTTGATTTGGAGCCAGTCGATAGAATGATATCCTGGATACTTAAAGCCAGGTTGATTAATGGATTCCACTATATTTTGTTTAATTTATTCTTGCTTTTTTTCCCTTCTTTTCCCAGTTTTTGGGATTGGGAAAAAGGGGAAAAGTTGGACTATTTTCACAATGGAAACCCACGTTATACTAGGATCACTGCCATGGAATATCTGAATGGACAAGACTGTTCTCTACTCCTGACTGCTACAGGTTGGTATAGCTTTGTTTATGAAAAAGAAGGTAACAGAACTAAGAAGCATCAGAAGTTTTATTGCCTTACCATCTTACAGATTCATTCAAACTTAGACACAATATCCCTCTGTTTATTTGTTTCCACACACTCTGCTAGCCAACTTTTGAGTCATCCCCCAGGCTGTTATCACACAGTAGACCATGATAATCATATAAAAATGATCCTATGAGTGTTTTACTATTTTCTTCACCCATCCTCATTTCTTCTCAAGTATGAAAAACATGTTGAAAGTAGGCAGAAGAAGTTCTATATTCAACTGTCTTCCATAATCATCCTTCTGACAGTAGCTGCAGGAATTAGCATCATGTCATACATTTGCCTCACACTTTCTCTGGCTAGAACAACTCCGGAGCAATCCCCCTCTGGGGCAAATGTGCATCACCTGAAGCCCAAGGTTGCAGCCCTCAAGGACTAACAAACGTTTTTCCTAGATTTTAATTTTTAATGTGACAGAAGGGGGTAATTATTAAATACATGGCTGGAAAGTAATTCTTTTAATTATATTTAATTATAATTCAGATCAAATCATGGCCCTCCTGCTACTTTTTACAATGTAACCCTTAAGAAACTGTTTGAAGGCCAGATGGGGCACCCAGCCTAGAAAATGTTGTGTAGGACTTCAGGCTAGGTTAGCAAAGGAAATAAGCTTTTCCAGTTATATTTAAGAAAGAAACCTCCAGGAATATTCCATTATGCACAATCTCCTCCATCTTAACCCCCCCAAGCAGCATTATTACTGTGAACAGTTTATTACAGGGTAGATCTTATCTAAGCATATCTTTCTCATGGCCCTTATTTCTATTAAGAGCATGATTACATGTGTAAGCGAGGCACAGATATTCCTTTGATTGTAGTGGGAACTTGTGTATATATATGAAAGAGAGAACCACACATGTTCAGAACTGCCAGTCCTAGAAAATAGATTGTATACCATTAAGGGGGAATTGTGTGTGTGTTTTTTTTAAGTTATCCACTTAAAGATTTGATATGTGTATTTCTTTTGAAAATTATTAAGCACCTGGTTCTTAGTCATAATCTTCAGTGCAGACCTTGTTCTCCTAGACAATCATCTAAGAGTGTTTCCAGTATGGTGGAGATACCAGCCTACAGTAGTTCCAAGTGTGCGTATGAAGAGCCTAGATGTAGGTTTTTTATCTGTGGTGTCCCTGCTAGCATTATGCCCTAGATCAGACTGTTCTTGGAAAGAAACAGGGGTACCTCTCGATCCAAAGCTCTTCCATCCCTCTCAAATATGCTAGTCTGTAGCTGATATTACTAAATCCCCTCCATATATTTCAAATATATTTGGGTATGAGAAGGGGCCAAAAAGCCCAGTAGACCTCCATCTTTCCCTACCCTGACAGGCAGCATCAGCCAGCCAGGATTAGAAGGGGCATATTCACCACTTCATTCCCTCCCCTTCTTCCATAGGATTCTTCTGCCCAAATCTATATCTAAGATAGTTGCAAAATTCTTCTAAAAGCAATGATCTTATAAAGTAAAATTTACCTGGATTTACAACACAGTCAACCAACTAAATATATATCCACAGAAAGCCTATTCTCATTAGCTTTGTTTGAATAGCTATTACTATTTCAACTTTATAATGGAGGTGGGGGGGGAACCTCTCTGTTTCCTGAATGGCCATAGTGAAGTGCCATTCAGGGAAGATTACTGGACAGTGCAGAGGTGAACATGTTTTTAGGAGCGGTTAGGGTAAAAATAGGAGTGGGAAGTCCCTGGGAGATAAATGACTTCTACCCCTACCTTAACCAACCCTTATCGCCCCAAACAACAACCTGAGATCATGCTGCTGAAATTCGGCATTCTGAGGTGAATTTCAGCAGTGTGGTCTGGGGATATTGGATAATTGCATATATGGTTGTCTACTACTGTCCCAGACCAACTTTAAACTTCTAAAATTCAACATCATCTTACAGAGGTTTGGCTTAATAAAGAATATTTGGGACAAACTTATTACACCTTAAACACAGTAGAAAAATGCTTGTTGGATGGCAAGATATAGCAAACAACTGAGTGAATGGTTAGTAACATACAACAAATAGCGTGAGCTTAGAGATTATCATAATGATTAGAAATCTGATGAAAAAGAATGAAAACCATGTTATGTTTTGTCTGATTCTTAATATTTGAGTCTATTTTGTTTAGAATTTCTTATACATCAGCTCTAATTTTTAGGAAAGTATTTTCTTAGGAAATTGGTGATGGTGAAAAGTTTAATCTTCATAGTACTATGGCCAATGTCTACTCTAAAACTTTTGAAAATGGTATGCCTCTTTTATTTAAATTCACTGATACTCTAATCTCAATGAGAGCATCCTGTGGTAAGAAAGGGTTGTTTACTATATCCCCCCAAACCACTGTTTTTATATTGCTTTGTATGTTTCTTTTTTTGTCCTGCCTTCAAGATGATGGTGCTATAAGGGTATGGAAGAACTTCGCTGACCTGGAGAAGAACCCAGAGATGGTAACAGCCTGGCAGGGTTTGTCAGACATGCTACCAACAACACGTGGTAAGTATGACCTTAACACTCTTATCTGAATGTTGAAGGGGCAAAAATAACAATAATTAGCCTTGGTTGGAGTGAGGCTGGGTAACCTGGAGCTGTCTTCTCTGCTTCTGCTTTCAGTAGTAACTTGTAATTAGACTTTTGGCCGTCACGGACTGACCTGTTGAGAGATTTCTTCCCAGCCATATTTTTGGAAAATTATAAACACAGGCCTAAAGACACTGCTTGGGGAATAGATAAGAGAGGCATTTTTTTTTTAGTAATGTGAGTCAGGAATAACGTTGCATCCCCACTCCTGGACTGTATTGGATTTCCCATCAGTAGAGGTCAGATCTAACTTTTTGCTTTTTGAGAAAGAATCATAGAAAGCTACACTGAGCACTGCCCTTCTTGAACTTCTCACAGCAATTGGTTATCTCCTTCCAATTTGGGGTTTATCCGAAACCTCACCTCTTGCTGCTGTTCTGTTTATTTGCTGATTCTTCCTTGACCCAGCTTTGCATGCTTCCCATATGACTTTGCTTAGCCTGCTTTGACTTTAGCATATACAACACCGCTTCAGTCTTTCCTGCCATATATGGGGGAAGAGGGAAGGAGAGGAAAACAGGAAATGTCCCAATCGGGGTCTTTTACAAGCAGCACAAATGGTCCCGGCATGCTAAGAACTCTGGCAAAGCTAGATGTCAACAAGAAACTTGTCATTATGTGAACTTGATGGAGGCAAGTTAGGTAATGCACACACACAGACACACACACAGAAAAAACCCTCTCAGTGTTATAATAGAAAGGTGCTCACTCTGCTTCCAAGACATGAGGATTCATTAAGACTCTGACAGTTCCCATTTCTGAACTGATACATCTCTGCACTAGCATCTGAGAATTGCATCTTTGAAAATCTCCTGTTGCTAAACTACTACTTTGCTAACCCCTTAACATATTTGCACTAACATAGCCAGTAATCAGTAGTGGTTTGACATGTCAATATAAACATCTATGCCCTTTGAACTTTAAGGTTTTAACATTTCAGAAGTACCGTCTATATATTTTTCTTTAATGCCACCTTCCTTCACATTGTCCTGCTTTTCCTGTATAATGTGATTTGAGCTACTGATAGAAATCCACATGCAACATCTCACTTAAATCTAAAAACACTAACAACGCTTCCTTTGGCTTTTCCATAAAAATCCTGAATTGCCCAGGCAATTGGAAAGCTGAGGTCCATTTGCAGTAAACCCAGGTTTCTACAACATACCTCTCCATGTATGCAGAATCAGTCTCAAAGGGCACATTTTAGGCATCTGGCAAAAATCCTCCATTTAGAGGGTCATCTGTTAGCAGCCAAGCAAAGGTACTCAGCTCTCTGTACTGCATTGTGAATAGAAGAATACTAAGCTCAGATCTTGCTGATCTTTAGCATCTTCCCATGTCTTAAATGATAATTAAATAAATATTAAGTTGTGTCTTGTCTAAGGCATCTATAAAATGCCCACCCGTTCAGTTACTGTACATTTCAATTTATTTTATTAGCAGTGTTTGACACTGCCAGAAGAGCAGTTCCTGCAAATTCAAGTTTATTCTTGTGCAGCTTATTTAAAAATTCAAACAAAGTAAAAAAAGAAAAAAAGGCCACTACCAAATCATTAAAAGATTATACAGTTAAAATCCAGGAGGAAAAGATTGTGTTAATTGTTTGTGTCGCTCTTAAAAAGAAAGACTAATTATAGTGTAATACAAATTCATCTAGTGATATGTACTGAAATCTATATATGTTTATTCCAGCCTTCACCAGCCTGGAGCATCCTGGTTAAGGGTTTATGAAAGATGAAGTCCAACGTATCTGTTTCCTTAATAACTTCATTAATTTTTTTAAAAAAGAACAGTAAAAACTAACAAGAACTAATGTTAAGAAAAAGAAGAAGAAAAAAAAACAAATTAG